TATCTAATCGGATAAGATGTAGATCATCTAGACGCTATAGATAAGATAGACGCCATGAAATTCTGTGACATTGTAGCAGTTCTGTACATAGAACTTGTAGGTGCGTTCACTATTCGTTCAACAAGCAGTACTTGCACGCTCGCACTGACAGAGAAGCCGCCCACATTCAAGGGGAGCCCCGGCGGCAGTACGTTGGACAAGTTCGTCGGTGCATCTGTGCGCTGTATCAAGTGCGCCCAGTGTGAGCAGAGAGGAGGCAGGAAGCCATACGGAGGGAGAGCAAGTTGCATGGGACGGGGAGGAATGGGGTGCTGGCGGACACGAAGCGCGCGAGTGCGTAGAACTACAGGCAGATGTGGGACAGGGCGTCCGTGAACAGTATGCGGCGCGCAGTAAGCTATTTCGGGACGTGGAGCGGGGCTGTGGATGCCGGTGGTGCCCAACGTGAGTGGTGAACGGATAGGGCAGGAGTAACCCAGTGAGGTGGTGAGTAGGAATGAGGCATATCATACTGGGATGTGTGCTGAACAGCGCGTGAGCGGGGGCCCGGAGAGGACACCCTGAGGGTGGGCGGAGTTAAGGTGGGTGTTCTCAAGCCATACTTGGAAAGCAATCCATAGCACAATTTGCACATATGCGTATTGAGGGCCATGCGCACCCTTGAATTTGCCAGGATTACAACGAACGTTTTCGAAAGTTATCGGAAGTTCGACATTGCTCGCATCGGCAATTAAGTTCGTGCATGCAAACGCCTCTATCAAACTCGGTCACCAGCATCCGGCTTTTCTTGTAGCCTGTCCCCGTCTTTTGCAGGTCCCAAGAAACTAGACACGCATCAAGGCTATGCCTGGCTGACTTACTGAGAGGCCGGAGGGGGAGCCAGTGGAGACAGTGCGCACCTCTAGCCGGAGCTCTCCATGTTGCGTATCCAAGATCAGTGAGCGCAAAAAAATCTCGCCTAAAGAGAGTCTACTCTTGTGCCAGTTATCCATTCGCCTCTCCCCATCTCGTCACTGCATATTCCTTCGATTCAACCATACTAAGCTGAGCACACCGTCACGAACTTCGACTTGGCGCGAGAAAGACCGAGTGGGAAAATATGCATAGGCTTCGCAGACACAGTGGTTTCCTCCGATTATTCACTGCCCTGTCCCCATTCGGATACGAGTCAGACAATTCGGTGTTGATAGGTCCCCCGGAGAGCCGGCTGCTCTGCTCTGGGGGCTGGGTTGCAGGGCACACGCGGACGGAATTCTGCCCATACTTGTGCAAATCCACATAACTATCTGAGGACCCAGGCCAAAGGGGACCGATAGCCATCCCTAGTTGGTTATATGAGACTACGCGGATGCAGTGCCTTTGAGATGGTCTGTCTTTGTACATTGTCCCGGGGGGCCGGCGGTGAGTGGCCTCTAACTCAATTTGCCCGGCTGAGCGTCACGCTCGTAGCTGTGCTCCCGGAGAGACGCTCTCGCACCAGTGGTGGTGCACCGTACCTTTCCCAGGACATGGCTGGGGCGGGGCTCGCAACTTCATTTCTGCCCAGTGGGTCCACTCCGTTCTCATGCTCAATGGGCTACCGCTTTTCCGTGTTCGGATGCATTTCATGTGTTCTCCGCCGCTACCTTGGTCCCCTCTCTTTCAGGCTGCCTTCGCTGGTACGAATGCTGGCACAACGTCACATCAGGATTCCCGGAAGCGACGAAGGCTCGTATCGCAGAGGCACGCCCATCATGGGTACACTCGTTTATCTCCCACACTGCACCCCCCAGCGGACAGCGTGTGAACCCTTGTTTGGTCTTTGTTGATATTACTACTTCGAGACGCGTGTCCTCGCATTGGATTCGGCCGACAGCAGCAAGCAGCAAGCGGAAGACGAGCTTAGTTTGAAACGCGTGGCTGGACGAGAGCTATTGAAAATCAGTAATCATTAATCATGAATCATTTGTCAGGCCTGCCTTGTCGCTGCTCAGTGCCGGGGGCGTGTTGGAACGTTCACGTTCGCGATCACGAGTGCATCGGGCTCATATGCCGCGGCATCAGAATATTGTCTCAAAGATTCCATCCCGCACACTCATCTTCCACTGTCACCCCCGCTTCCCAGGCTTCCGCGCCAGTTCATCGATGCATCTCCTATCAACCGATCACATGGCAGCGGCGTGCATTTCCGACTTCATTGGATACAATCTTCAACGACAGCTTGAGGAAAAGGGGGGTTAGAAGAGACGACCACGGCGTGCGCCCGCAGACCCGGCTTTGGACCAATCATCTCGAGTTTTGATGAGGAGAATGGTGCGATGCGTGAGCTCGCCTGGATATTCTATTGAAGTATATACTCATCCACGGCCGTCGCTGCGTTCGTCCAGGGTAAAGCCACATGTTTCAAAGGTGTGAGATATAGCATGCATATTGAGTGTAGAGACGACATGCGCAGAACCAGAAGCGGGATCTTATAATTGGCCACATCAATGACGAAATTCATGCGTGGACGATGTGTACCCTCTACGTCCAATACATGTTCGTCGCCGGGAGAGCGTTCCCCGGTGATGTCCCGCACCAAATATGCACGAAGGAAGGTAGAGCGGGGAGGCGACTTCTGCCCGCGCAAAGACAGTTTGACTCCCACCCAATACGCGGCCCTTAATTCATCGTTCAAGCAGAATCACGGATGGCGCACAGGCGAAACGTAACCCCTAGCCCTGAAGAAAGAGAATTAAAAGCATGACGACCATAAAAGGGAAATCGCGCACGAAGGAAGGTATTCATCAAAACTCGCCAGGCAAGTATACATTCAAAATTTTCTGTTCGCTGTTTTCTGATAGCACCTACGGTGCCAAGCTAAGGCCACCCCCATATCTCCCTTGCGCGTGATATCCCTGTTATGGCCGCCATGCTTCGCACCATCTGGTGATTGGGGGAACACGCATCGTCTACTGACATTTGCGACGAGACAGAGCGGAGGAGACCAAGCTGTGGTGCTGCGCTCAGTGTGGGCAGACAGGAGCGTTTGCTTGCGACCGCGAGCAGAGAGCAGTATGATATATCAGGGATCGAGGCGCGTCGAGCAACAACAGTTCGCATCGTGGAGACAGGCGCGTGCAACAAGACATTGTCGTGCCCTTGGCTAGCTGCACGCTCAGATGTCTTCAGCACGAATGGGTGAATGGATGGTCTGGGTAACTTTGTCTCTGGAGGATATGGGAAGGCTGAGCGAAGTCACTCGCCCAAGGCACTTGGATCCGTCGATCTATGGAGTCGCCACAACGCTCAAGTGGACCGTTTGTCATGTTCTGTCAATTTTCGGAAGTGGTAGTGGAATGACTCTCGATGGCGTGCGTGAAAGACCTGTGAGTGGGTGAATCCAACGAGAGATGCAAATGAGATCGATCCGGGATATTTTATCAGAACAGAATGTGAGTATTCACCTAAGGCTGTCCACATTTTCTGGATTAATGACACACGCTGGACAGTGAACCTCCTGTGCCCATCCATGTCCTCTGCTCGACGAAAGGGTATAACACGGCCCAGTCCTTGACGCCAGAAAAGATAACGCCATCGTTACAATGACGCAGAAACATGTAGAGGAACGATTCCAGGAGTTTGTACTGAGACTCACACAGAAATAACGTATCTATACGATCTTCCGACTACAAAGTCTCTGTGCCAACGACGGCTCCGCCGATGCTCGATTCACACTGGAGACGTGTCAGACCGCGCCGTTCAAAGCACAAAACAATGACTTGGCACATATGTTTGTATGTTTCGGCAACTGCACGAGACGGCAGCCGTACTTAGAGCCGAAAGTTAAAACCGAGCCGCGAAGACAGCGTCGGAGGGGAGGAGGATGGATTGGCAAAGATCGAGTCGACCCAGCCGGCCGGAGGCTAATCTGAATCATGCGGCGATCGAACCAATAAGGTCACGTGCATCCCAGAGAGACTCCGAGATTTGGGCTGTCCCAACGCTATCTCTCCGGCAAAGCTTGTTCGCGCTTCTGCCGCGCTCCTCGCCCTAAGCAACTTTGAAAAACGTAAATATAGCGCTTCCCTCCTCCGCCCGCGCGTCAGCTCGTTTGTACGGCCGTCCGGCACGGCGTTGACTTCAATAGAGTCCCGCAGGTGGGTTTAATTATCATGTTGATTTTTTCCTAAATGGTAACCATGAACGACAGGTTCTATGCAGGGACACCTGCACGCGCATCACGCGGACAGTTCTGTAGCCCCGTGTACTCCGCTCAGGATATTCATATACGAACCGATGTCCGGTCGAAGATAAAAAGCCCCGCCTTCTTTTTCGTGCCGTTCTGCACACCCCTACGCCACATAGCGCATTCGTCTGAAACACTTCCGTATCAGTGAAATTGCATTACTGTTCCCACGACAACATTGATGAGCCTCGCAAGATGGCCGCGCAAGATCGAAAGCCCGAACTCTGCCCTGAAGCTGTCGTTTCGGGAGGGCCACCCCTATCGGCGGCGCACGCCCTTGGTTCTGCGCGGCTATCGCCATCATGCATATCCAGCGGTGCATGACGTCTAGTTGCGCCTGAAAGCTGAGGCCCGCGCGCAGCCCTGCTCCGCCGCGGTGCCAGCCACAGTGGGCGATTCATGGGACATTTCTGCACATCTTTCCTAATCGGCCGCTGTGAGAACGTCCCATCCTCCAACGACATCAACGTGATGTGGGCTGCCCCGCGATGTGGAAGAACTGCGAATGGCGCATTTTCCCAGCCCCCGCATGCCAACGCATGCTGTACCTGGTGATTCTGAAACCTGCAGGTGCAGGCCTGGCTGGTCAAACCTCTGGGTCCAAGCGCGGGTTATGCGCCGCGGACCCGAGCCCATCTATTACGCGCCCACAGAACTTGCCATAACGCGTAGGTGCGACGCATGCAGCCATTGCTGTGACGCAGCGAAAGGCCCACAGCTCAAGATCGTCTGGAATAGAAGACAGGACAGGGATGTACAGATAGACTCCAAGCCCACTGACGGGCCCGGCATCCAGGCAGTGTAATGTGAATCGGAACAAGTGCAGTGCAATCCAACCAGTCGAGGCTTTCCGTCAGGCATCCGTCGTTCTCCCCTTCGCGCCCTTCCTCTCTCCTCGCTCTCGCCCCCCCCCC